AAAAAAAAAAAAAAAAAAAAAAAAAAAAAAAAAAAAAAAAAAGAATACTACACATCTATTTACCCAAGGTAAAATAGATGAGCAAATCATCTCTAATCAACCTGATACATGAACATAAGATTAGAAACAATGCTAGATGACCAAAGTGGCAACCAACATTTATGATCAAAAACTTCCATCCATAAACTTAGTAGCTAAAACACTTAGCCAATACAGAACATTCCTGAATTCTAAAGGCAAACACATTTTGGAGCCTAGAACCTTTTTTTCTAATTTTAGGTAAAATATTTCCTGATAATAATATTAAAAAATCTTATAATATGGTAATTTACAAGTTTTTTGTAATTAATTTCTTACACAAAGTACCAATATAAGTCTTATGAAAATATTAAATACTTATTCATAAGTATGTACTGAGTGCTGAATTCCAAGCACATTCTTGAATGTGAGAAAAGTTACAATTGTCGCTAGTGTCACAAAACTTGCTGTAAAGCAAAACACTTAAGAAATATGTGAAATTGTCACTGTTATAAGGGACACATATAGCATCTGATAGGGGAAGTCTAGAAAGTTTCCATAGATAGGACAATCAATAGAAATACTAATAATGAAAAAAGATAATCTGAAAATAGTACAAAATGTACTTGTACTTACAAAGGATGCAATACAAAGACAAATAAATAAACATTGTTTCTAATAAGCAAAGAAGAGTACAAGATAAGATAAGATACACAACTTAAGATCAACTACAGGTTTTTAAACTTTGGTGAATAATTTACTTTTGTCTCATGAGTAAAGGGAAAACATTGATCAAGTTTAATGATGTGGTTTTATCAAATTTGCATTTTAAAGGATTTATTTTATTTTATAGGTATAAGTGTTTTGCCCACATGTATGTCTATGTATCACATCTATGCACTGCCAACAGTAGCAAAAAGAGGGAATCTGATTCATTAATTGGAGTTACGCACAGTTGTTAGCCATCATATGAATGCTGGAAATCCAACACAGGTCTCTGAATGAGCAACCAGTGCTCTTAACCTCTTAGCATTCTCTTCAACACTCACAGTTGCATTGCTAATACATTATTCCAGCTTCACATGTAAATTTAATAAGAACAGAAAAAGAATAAACAAAGGCATGCCACTTAGAAGACTATTGTGGAAGCCTAGAACCTACATGGCAGCAGCCTGGACTAAAATATTGATGAGATGGTTGGGGAGAAATGGAAATATTGAAGAGATTTTTGAAATGACATTTGTTTATTTAATATTTTATATATGTGGCACACATATGCCATTGAGGTCAAAGGACAACTTGTGGGAATTGGTTCTCTACTTCCATCTATGAATTTCAGAGACTGGAGACAAGCACTGTTAATCATTTAAGCTATCTTGCTGGCCTGAAATATTGAAGAGATTTGTGAGAAGGATGTTGCTAAATTTTATCATGGTTTTGATAACAATTGTGAGAATAAGAGAAACTGAAGGGTGGCCACATGATTTCACTATATTTTGAAGGGTTATTGAAAGTTGAAAGTGTGCCATTTGAAACTCATAGTATTATACATGGCTAGATTTGAAGAGTGAAACATCATCAGGCTGCTTCGAATATGTTAGTTAAGGCATGGCTTTGAGTCATTCTAATGAAGAAATCTAGTGGGCATTTAGAACTGTCATTCAGAGAAGACATCTGTTTTGAAGATAAAAATGTGTGAACCATCTGTTCCTAAGAAGTAACAGAAATAGAAGTATCAATATAAATGTTCAATGAGAGAGTAAGGAATAAGAAATGAACATCACTAGGCCAAAATATGAAGCACTCCAGAGTTGGTTACAGATAGGAGGGTACTAAATGTAGAAAGCATAAAGAAAATGAAAATACATGCCTGGAGATGAAGAAAAATCACTACAGGAATAACGCCAGAAACTAGAGGGTGCACTATCATCTCATTCCAGAAGAAAGTGCTGAATGCTGTTGAGTAGGTTGATCTCACTAGTTTAAATATAAATACTATGAAGCGTTTAAAACTTAATCTGTGGGTTTGACCAAAGATTCACATAAGTTCTGTGAATCTTAAATATGTGAAATTATAAAGTCATCTTGTTGGCAAGAACATCCAGGCAAAAGTCAGGAAACATATTTTAATAGAATTTATTTTTAGAAAAGTTTTAAGTGCACAGCAATATTGAGTGTTGAGTGTAGGTATTTCTCATATAGCACTGACCTCAACATTTTTTTCTTACATACATATCTTTTCAAATTAATTTTAAATTCCTCCAGTGAGGAGGGATGATCTGAATTATCAAGGGCCTAGTGAGTTTAGACTGTTTTTCTCATTTGAAGTAAATGATCATATTTTTATATAAATACTTTAGCATTCATTGTTTTTATTATGTCTTTCAAAGGACACTTTTCACATGGTCTGTGCATGCTAAAACTTGATTGCATCCTTATATCTGCGAAAAGTTGTGCCCATAGAGGAGGAGGAACTCTTAAACTCAGAAAGTCACCAGAATATAAAAGATTCATGAAGCACCTTTCTGAGATCACATAATTAGTAAACAATTGCTTGTTTGGAAGACAAGACAAGTTGTAGATGCCGACTTTAGACAGGGACCTCACGTGCTACCAAAACCTCCATCTTTGAGTTACTTATGCTCTTATTAATAACACCTCATGCATATTTTGCAAGTTACCAAAATACATTCATTGATTTACCCAGATTGACTTGACAGGAATCTTTTTCTGGATTTTTCTCAGTGCCTTATTTGTGATGAATAATTTTTTTTTCTCATTTCTCCAGTAAAATGCACATAACACAAAACCTTCAGAGTCTCTAATGTTTGACCAGTACACAATATTTCAAATTCCTTCTTTACTTGATACAATATAAATGGCAATGGCAACTTTCTCATGGCAGCAATGAGTCGCTAGAAGAAGCTCTGTCAGTCTATCTATCAGTCTGACAATGAATCTTACCATGCTGCCATGTTTATGATACAGACAAGCTGATAGACATATCAGAGTGGAAATAAAGTGTATAGCTTTGCAAATATATTAACACGGAAATAGTCATCCACCATTGAAAAACCTCTAGACATGGGACTAGACAAGATGCTCTGAGTTATTTTAGTACTGGGTTTTGTCAGAACTTATACAATGAACACATAAACAGGGTGGATCAAATTTTGGAGACTGAGATTATATGATAGATCAATATTATGGACTCCAGCCCACCAAGTTCCAGCTCTCTTTGGCTTCTTTTGAATGTTAACTCACATTGGAGGGCAATGGCAAGTAAATCTTATAGACTATATAGACTATATCCAGACTACATGAGGTGCCCACTTGCTAATGTTAGTCATATATGGTGATTTGAAAGAAAAGGGCACCAAAGGGGAGTGGGATTATTAGCAGGTGTGGCTTCATTAGAGTAGGTATGGTCTTGCTGGAGGAAGGGTGTCACTATGAAGGCAGGCTTTGAGGTTTCCAATATGTTCAAGCCATGCCCAGTGTCTCAGATCACTTTCTGTTGCCTGCAGATCAAGATGTAGAATTCTCAGCTCCTTCTCTAGCATTATGTCTGCCTTTGTGCTGCCATGTCCCGCCATGATGATAATGGACTAAACTTCTGAAACTGTAAGCCACCCCACTAAATGTTTTCCTTTATAAGACTTTGTGTGATCATGGTATCTCTTTACAGCAATAGAAACCCTAAGGCATCATATATGGTCACTTTTATTTTCAATATTCCAACTGTTTGCTTGTTTAGGGATTCTTATTTTAGTTATGAATTATGTTGCCCAGTTCTATAGAATTCAGGAAAGTCTTGTGTGAGTCATATCTTCACTCCATTTTTTTTTCTCCAGAAATATAGGCTTAAGATCCCTTCAAAGAATCAAACTTTTACAAAAAGAAATAAAGTACCAATAAACTAGAAGCTATACACTTTGTATCCAAAGACATCTTACTTTCCCTATATTATTATTGATATTTTATGACAAGAAATATAAAATAGGAATGCTTTTATACAAGAAAGAAAAAGGAATATTTAGATACACCACATGATGCACTCAGGCACTTCCTTATTGTTTGTTTTTACTCTTTTGGGGGGCCTGCCACCCAGCTCCCAAATAAATCACACACAGAGGCTGATTGTTAATTATGAATGCCCAGCCTTAGTTTGCCTTGGTTCTTGCCAGCTTTCCTTAAATTATCCCATCTACTTTTTGTCTCTTGGTTTTTCCTGTTCTCTTACTTCTGTAAAACTTACTCTTACTCCGTGGCTTGCTCTGTAGCTGGGTGGCTGGCCTCTGATGTCCTCCTTCTTCTCTGGCTACTTCTTTGCTCCTTCTATATATTCTCTCCCTGCCAGCCCTGCCTATCCTTTCTTCTGCCTCGCTATTGGCCATTCAGTTCTTGATCATCAGGTGCTTTAGACAGGCACAGTAACACAGCTTTACAGAGTTAAATAAACACAACACAAACAAAAGTAACACACCTTACAATAATATTCTACTAGACTTCCTGTTACTTTTCTGTTTCATTGCAGTTGTAACTAGATATATGCAACAACCCAAAAAGAAGAATGCACGACAACTAAGACGTGCCCTCTTTCTTGTAACAATAGCTTGGGTCACAGCTCAGCTAGCTCTAGAGATGATAGCTGAAGAAATTTAGAATGGAAAATGGGTGATAGCAGAGGGCATGTAATGAATCCAGGTCCCCTACAAAGACTGATATTCTAGTCCATTGCAGTGAGTTGCTTCAGAAACCTTCCCATTGATGAAAAGAGCCACAGTAACAAGTGAAAGTTGTTCCTAAAATCTTCATTGAGAAATGGAGGGGGAAAATGCAGAAGATTAAGCAATTACTAGTCTTCAGCATGAATTTGAGGCTACATGAAAAAATAAAGAAAGAAAAGGTTCAATAGAAGTAACCTGGCTTTTTAAAGACTCTTAAGTCTTACGAATAGTTTTGGAGGGTCTACCAGCCTAAGTTTTACACCATAGTCACTGATTTACATTAGGAAGACTGCTTATATCACCTTATGCAGATCATCATGTACTAAGGTTTCAGCATCGAGTTGTTGCCTTGTAAGATAACAGTTCCATGTGAGAGACTTAATTTTGCTTGCTGTGGTTGGATGTCTATAATGATGTTTTCATAGCAATCTCAGTGTTGCTTACTTCCATTTTAATAGTCCGTCGTTTGAAGCATGAAATCCTATTTCTGCCTACAATATGAGAAACTTTATTTGTAATATAATAAAGATCATCGGCACCAGCAATCTTGTCAGAAAATCCTTAGTATTCTCTTTCCACATGATAGTCTACATTCGTTCCAATGAAAAGTATACTTCAATTTTCCCCTACTTCTTTTAATCTCTTAGTTGAACTTCAGAAGGTAAATTATTTCCCTAAATCTGGTCTCATCTTATTTACTAAATCAACAAACGATACATCCATCACTCTGCCAAAATATCCTAAATATTTTTCTTTTAACCTAAACATAAGATTTACCAAACAACTCAATTCCTTCTACTTTCATATACTGCAGACATGAGAGATTGTCCATTATCCTTTACATCTATTTTTATTTCATACTCCCATGTTGAACTCACTAGCTTCTATTCAATGCTCCTACAGACAATCAGAGTAGAAATGACTAATCTTTCATTTTGGTGATTCACTGCCTTTTCCAGGTAAAGATGATCACTTCATCACTTTATCCCAGCCTTATATAAGTAAAAAGATGCTACACTTTAGAATATAACATAAAAACATATTTATAGGCCAATTTTGCCTTTGAAGACAATAGTAGAATTAGAGACATGGAGTTGACTTTCTGGTCTCTGCACTTTAGTGTAAGTTCTTTCACAAGATAATTTCATAAACATGAAAGATAGTCTGCATCCATAATTCTTTAGTGATAAAATATTATATAGTCTAAGGAGATGGGTAAATACTAGGCATTTTCAGTGGTTGGCTATTAAATATTTATTTAATTCCAGATGCTATTCCAAATGTCTTCTTCATTCTTTAAAATATTTGAAAGCTTTACTATCCTTATTTGAGTATCTAAATCATTTAAAATCTTCAAAAAATAAACACAAGAAGCAAAACACTTTCATCAATACACATGATAATGAAATGAACACGGGGTTTTCAGTCCACATTCTGAAAGCAGATCAACATAATTAGCCATTGTGTAAATGAACATGAAAATTATTTTGGCTTTCCATATCATCCTAGTGAGGATGGCTATCATCAAGAAAACATGATAGCCTGGCATGGTAGCACACGCCTTTAATCCCAGTGCTCAGGAGGCAAAGGCAGATGGATCACTGAGTTTGAGACTGCCTGGTTTACAAAGTGAGTTCCAGAACAGCTAGGATGGCTGTAATGCAGAGAAACCATGTCTCAAAAACAAGCAAAAAGAAACAAACAAAAGGAAAAGGAAAAGAAAAATAAAAACATATGATAAGCAATGCTGGCAAGAATGTTGGGTAAGAGGAACAAATATTCATTGCTGGTAGACCTACAAAATGCTGTAGCCACTAAAGTAATTGCTGTGGGGGTTTCTCAAGAAACTAAGACTAGAAATGACATATAATCCAACTACTTTGGGGCATATTCTCAATGACTCTACATGCTACCATGCAGATATCTTCCCCCCACTGATTGTTGCTGCTCAAATAACAAATAAATGAAATCAATCTAGATGGTGATCAACATATGAATAGGTAATGAAAATGAGACCTACCCAAGTGAACTTTCTTTTTTTATTTTTTTTCCTTTTTTTTTTATTTTAAAATACTATTCAGTTCTACATAATAGCCACAGATTCCCGTGTTCTCTCCCTTCCTGCCCCCCTCCCCTTCCCCCCAGCCCACCCCCGATTCCCACCTCCTCCAGATCAAGGTCTCCCCCGAGGACTGGGATGGACCTGATAGACTCAGTCCAGGCAGGTCCAGTCCCCTCCTCCCAGATTGA